GCCCTATACTGTGTCAGTTTCTTCAGGCCCGTCACAGAGTTCCATGATTATCTTCTTAGCTTCACGATTACTGCTGTCGATCATCTGGATGCAGCCATGGCTCAGATCACAGTGCGTTCTCTCCTAGCGCGTGCACGTCTTGCAACGAATGACTGATCTTCATGTGCAGTCGATATACCCACTGCTCATTTTTATCTTCATGGAATTGGACAAGGCGCGCCGTGATCACGGGCCTCGGGCCTTACGCGCGAGCGAATGGTCCGGGATTGATAAAGAGGAAGCCGCAGAGAGCGACACGTTCGATATTGATGTGGAGCATAGTGCAATTCTTGCCCCCAGCTCGTTACTCGAGCCGCCTCGCTATACATGATACAAAGACTTCCAAGTTCTACTGTGACATTTCTTATTCTACCCCCCTGTTTTGCTCTCGGGATCGGGGATACAGAGTTCCCTACATATTGATCATCTTACAGGGTCATCGTTGCGTGAATGACATGACGTAGATATAATCGCTCATTGACGAAGTTGGTTGCCGAACGGTAATAGCAACAGGAAGTTCTCCGTCAATTCCAAATGACCGGGCAGGACGCGCCCGTCGCACTGCGCCACAACTGATCGGTCGCGATTTCAGCTGATTCGCACGCCAGGCCAGGCTTCGCCTCCCTACATGGTTCAAGCCGGTCAGACCCCCAAACGGCACATTTTTCCCCACGAGCAGTCATAAGGATCAGTTACATTGCATTGAATCAGGAAGAAGTACATATCGAGAACATAGGTCAGACGGCCGGGGAGGGGTGATTAGCGTAGGATAGTAGTACGAAGACAACGTGAGAAGGAGGAGTGAGAATGCTACACGACATAACAAGAGAGCAACGATGCACAGCAACGAGACAAGGCAGCTATGTACAACGAAGAGAACTATTCACAGCAATATAGGCAAAAACGTGAGAGAGTGTGGGTGGCCGTGCTTTACAGCGGCGTGTGCGAGATCAAGGCCATCAATAGGCCATCAGCCAGGATGGCTGGACTGGAAGGTTGTCGTTACGATGAAGATCAACGTGTGTGTCCGGTTCCTGAAGGGACACCTGGTCTTGCTGAGTGGGCGGAGGAAGCCACCACTGGCATTCTGTTTCGGGTAGCGGGCGAGGTGGAGTGAACAGGTCTTCGAGCGATTCATATGGCCTCGGTGGATTGATAATGTACGCGGGATAGCCGAAGACCTGATGACAGGGGAGCGGTTCCCCGGTATCCTCGTTGATTAACTCGCCCGTGCTCCCTTTGAGAATCACCCTGCCGCTAGAACAGTCAAGGGGAGGGTACGCCACTGTGTCGAAGTCGAAGTTGGTGCCGGTGTCGATGTCGGTATGGGCGTGGGTGTCGAGATCGATGCAGGCTGGATTGAGCGGAGACCAACTCTTGATGTCGAGCGCGCGGGTATCGTCAGAAGAGGAGATGGAAAACGTGTCGGAGAGGTCATCCCCAAACAAACTCTTCATATCCGCATTGTCGTCTTCATCCTCCGGCGCGTGAAGAGTAGGACTGGCGGAGGCGCTCGGCGTGAACGAGCCGGGGAGCAACGTGGCAGCACGCCGGGTAGATTTCTTGTTCTTCGAGGTCTCCTCTACAGGATGCGCGGCCTTCCAGGCTTCCGCCTGGGGCGAAAGGGGAATCGGGTCCCTCCTTTCCAACCAACCATCTGGGCACCTCGATGAACGGGTGGGGCGCGCAGAATCGACTTTGCCTTTCTGGATATCCTTCCACTCCTGCCTGGTGTTGGCAAGATCCCCGATAAGGACGTAGTCGATATATTGGCGAGCAACGCGAGTAATCTCCTCCTTCAGGTGGACCGGAGCTGTTTTGAACTCAGGAAAATGCGTTCCGACGATATTGCGAGTGACAAAGAAGTCTCCGCGCTCGGTGCTATGTTCCAAATCAGCCATCATTCCAAGAAAGAAATGCACTGCGCGACATACAGAGTGTGTCCTTCGCATTCCGGGAATGAACAAACCGGCATGGGCGCATCTTTGAGGATATTCCACGCCAGTTGTTTGCGATGGGCTTGTCCAAGGACCTTGTTGCGAGTGTATTGTGCAGACTTAAGGCCAGCAATAAAGTCGGGGTGTGCGTGTTCCACCTATAGCAAGTCAGTTTCGATTCGTATTGAAGACTCTGAGTCTGCACTTACGAAGAAAGCGTCCGTGAAGGTACTCTGACCCTTCGCGTGGAAATGGTAAGCCATCGTGTCGCGTACATAGACGGCAACAATCGAACGGTCCCAGGAGAAAGGCAGACAAGGGCGGTGAGGTGGAGACAGAGCAGTGGCCATTTTGAGACGTCAAGTCGAGGGAGAGAGAACGAAAGGCTGTTGACTAGCAACGAGGCAACGAGTGCAGGAGAGGAAAGAGCGGGAATTCTGAGCTTGAACATTCAGCTCAGCGGCATATTTATATTCAATAATACTCCTTTGTGCACCCTGGACTGGGAGGTGGTTGAGTGCTGTATGTAATTGGCGGCGTTCGCGGAGGATACTCAGGGGACTGCAAGTCCACATCCGGGCCAGAACGCAAAAATTCTCGACAGGCTGAAGGGGAGGCTATTGTTCTGAAATGTGGACTATAGCGTCACTGGACGAAAGTAAAGCATTTTAAGCTCAAGGTTTTAGCATGCCTTCGGGTAGGAGGTCCACGTACCCACAGAGCGGAGGCATAATCGCAGATGTATAGGCCATTGAGTAACCACAAAGCATAATTTCATATGACAGCGTCCAGTGTAGCTATCTTGGGCACATTTTCAAGGCTGTTCGGGACGTTAGGTCCGTTGCGAGGGTGCTAAGGGGTCGATGAGGGACCGGCAATGATGCATACGCGCATGCACGATGTGGAGGGCTTGAAGGTCCAATCGACGAAATTTCCGTATGAGTCCATAGAGTACCCTTTGAACCACATATCTTGCGATCAAACTTTGTCTTCGTAGATCCCGGACGCGATGGGTCCAAGGGTGAAGGTCAGAAGCAAGACGCGGTTCGGTTTTGGCGCGTGTGGGCCTGAACGGAAATCCGGCCCGTCATTCCGAGTCGCGCGAGCGGTGCCGTGCGCGCACCTCGTCAACGACGACCATCTCCTTGTCATGGTTTGTGCGAAATGCGAGAAGGTGCGCGAATCAGATATCAGCCTATGCTGAATACCCTGATAAACTCAATATTAGAAATTATCTAAACTCGCAGCTCCCGATCCCTTCAAGAGCTCGTCCTCGAGCATCAAGGATGGATCCCGCAAAGTAGGGGAGAATAAGCTCCTAGGGAAGGCTGGTACTGCGGGCGGATCCAAGAGTCGATATTCGGTGCGTTACCTGCGGTACTTCCAATGGCCGCCACGTCTGACTGTCCCTCCAGCCGTACGGTAATTATGGGACGAAATGTAAAGACTGCAAGCAACCGGTCACACAGAATAAGGCGAAATATTGCCACGGTACGCTGTCCTCTAACGTACAGCCCCCTTCTGGACCTTTACTCACTGTGCGCTAGGGTGTGCTTTTAAGAAGGGTCTATGCTCGATATGCGGGAAACAGATCCTCGATACCTCCGGATACGCCATGTCGAGCAAGTAGCGCTGCTTCCTTCAGGGGACGTCACAGTGCGGACATACACCTCACCCTGTATACTATATTTGTATGTAAACTATAGATTGCGTTCATAATGCTATACAACTTGCTGTGGCGCTCGCGCGCTTACCGTCAGCCATCGTGTCCTCTGGATCCTCGTATATCCCAGCAACACTGTACGCTTGGGGCAGACCAGGCCAACAACTGCACAACACGAGCACATTATAATATCTATTCATACAGTAACAAAGCAAGCGCGTACATCCAATAGCAATAGAAAGCAAGATATGGCAATGAGATCAACAAACAGAAACTCGAAACACGTCTATTCCATCTCCACGTCGCTATCCACAACCTCGACAATCTTCGACGGCGCCGCCGCGGCAGCAGCAGCGATGAGCTCATCCACATTCTTGCCGCGGCGCTTCTCATACTGCTCGACGTCCATCGTGTCCATTGTCACGAAGCGCCAGATGTGCACGGTCTGGCGCTGGCCGTACCGGCGCAGACGACCGATGGCCTGGGTCTCGCACGCATCGTACTCTTCTTGCGACTCAGTGAGTAGAGGCGAGAGGAAGATGGCGTGGTTTGCGCCCGTCAAGTTCGCGCCGGAGGCGCTCTCGTCCATGACGTTGAGCAAGAGGACACGCTCCTTGGAGCCATTCTGGAACTGCTCGAGGCTCTTGCTCTTCGCAGAGGCAGAGCCCCTGATCTCGAGGAACTGAATACCGCGAGCGGATAGCACATCGTTGACCTTCTTCATGAGATCGGGGAACTGCACGAAGATTAGGACGCGGTCGTTCTTCTTGACCCGCGATGTGTCCCTGGAACCAAGGTTAGCTCACAATCGGTACGCGGGCGAAAGGAGTACATACTTAAGCAACTCAATGACCTGCTCGAGCTTAGCGCCGTAACGACGGCCCTCGCCATCACGCTTCTCATCAACGCCGAGCGTCTCGCCCTTGACGATGTTGATGACGCGCGCCTGAGACTGGCAGTTGAGGGTGGCGTGGCCAGCGTAGACACACTCGTCATTGACGGCGCGCTCCTTGACGCAAGTGTAGCAACCCGTATGGCCGCAAGACGAGAGCACAGCGATCTCCGAGAGTGGGACCTCGTCACGACCACAACCAGGGCAGTCGACGACGGGCGGCTTGTCCTTCTGCTTCTGCAGGTCACGAACGACGGTGAAGTACCGCAACGAGCGTACGCGGCCGACAAGCTCCTTGATGAGACGGCGAACATTGTGCGATTGCTCGCGCAGCTTCCACGCAGCTTCGGCGCGGTCAGAGTCCTTCATCTTCTTCCCAGCAGTCTTGGGCGCGCGAGCGCCTACGCCTGCCTGTTCGAGAAGCTCGACCGCGGTCTCCTTGGCCTCGGAATCGCCGACACCCTCACCGCGAATGACGCGGACAGTCTCCCGGAAGAAGGACTCGGGCTCGCCTTCGCGTATGCCGACTTCCTTCTCCATTTCGAGCGCCTTCTTGATGGTCTTGACGAGGTCCTCCTTGCACTCCTTTAGCTGCTCGGTACGCTCTTTCACGATGAAGTCGCAGGCGCGCATGGCGTTCTCCTTCTTCGTCTCGAGTTCGAAGTGCGAGCAGCGCTTGAGAAGGGCCTCTTCAGCGGTCCTGTATACACTGATAAGCCGCTTGTGACTGAGTGAAGGAAGAGGCAGACGCACTTGGATTCACCCATGGACTTAGCCAGACGCTTCTCGCGGTCACTCTCGTTCTTGCGGACACGCTTGATGGTCATCTCAAGCGAACGAAGGTGATGCTCGAGCTCGAGGTAGATGGCGCGCTCGGCGGCTGGGAGCTGGACCTTGATGTAATGCTCCTCCCACTTGATCTCGTCGATCTCGGCGACGTTCTGCGATGACGGGTCAGTGCGACAACACCATTGAGGGGCCGTAGGGTTTTACCTGGCGCACGAAGCGATCGAGGAAGTTTTGGCCAATGGTGTTGCGGTGGGCGTGCCAGTCGAGACTGTGGGCCTCACGGAAAGAGTGGAACTTCTCCGCCTCTGCATGCGGCAATCAATCAACCATAATCAGACTCAGTATACGCGCTTTACTCACCGGAGTACTCGTTCATGCGCTTTTTCAGGACCGCCTTGCTCTCTCCATCGTCGTCGATTCCCAGATGAACACCAAGGAACCGCGCGATAGTCTTGAGCGCCGGGAAATCCTTCGTAGGCGACGTGCCCGAAAGCACCCAGATACGCTCGCCGGTTAACCTCGAGATCATCGACAACACCTTGCCGTCAAGGTACGTATACTCGTCGATGATGATGCGCGACCAATGGAACATCTCGAGCGGCGGGCACAGCATCTCCGTGTAATCCCTCGTCGCCGCGCCCTTGAGCTTCCACGGGTCCTTAGACTCGCGCAGCACCTTGGGTTTTGTGTCTTTCTTCGGCTTGGCCTTGGCCTTGGACTTCTTCTTGGGCTTGTCATCGTCGCCCTCTTCATCGGCGTCCTCTTCGTCCTCGTCGGCCTCTTCATCTTCATCTTCCTCGACGTCCATCTCCTCGTCTGAGTCCACCTTCTTGCTCTTCTTGCCCTTGGCCGGCGCCTTGGGTTTGGCAGCGACCTTGCCCTTCGGCTTCGCCTTGCCCCTCTTCGGCTTCTCCTCTTCGCTATCTGAGGCGACGAACTCGACGTCATCTTCTTCCTCCTCGTCTTGCTCCTCCTCAGCGTCCGAAGGTACGAAGTCCGGCGACGCAGAGCGACTGGCCTTGCTCGCACCCGCCTTCGTCAAGCGGCGCTTCTTGGTAGGCGCCTCGTCGACCTCCGAGTCCGAGTCGATGACGGTAACCTTCTTCGCCGCCGTACGGCGCTTGGGACGAATAGGCAAGTCGAGGTCCAGATCGTCGTCATCCTCGCCTTCCGTAGCGTCCGTACCCGAAGGCGCAGGCGTCGTAGCACGAGAGCTCGGGATAGGCGTGTTGGCTTCCGAGAATGCGACGGGCGAGCGCGCTTCGACGTACATGTCACGGTGCTTGCGCTTCTCGCCGGTGGTTGGGGAAGGGGTCTTGGATGAGCTGGCCGAAGAGATGTCCTTGGTCTTGACAGCAAGCTTCTTGGAGGTGGAGGCCGAGCCGTTAGCCTTCGCAGGCGCGGCACCGTTGGTCTTCTGGTTGACGTCGGGGTGGATACCGCGAAGGCGCTTGGAGGGCTTCATGGCCTCTTCAGCCTCGTCCGCTGCAGTCCTATCAGCATATCATCGAGCAGTGATGAAAGTGAAACCAACGTACAAGCTTTACGCCCAGCATGAATAGCCTCCATAACCGCCGCACTGCCCTCGTTCCTCAACCTATCGACCTGACCCGCCAACCCTTCTAGAACCGTGTCCAGGCGCGCATTGAAGAAACGTCCCTGGCCATTCGGCAACTTCGCCCCACCACCCAGCGCCTCCACATTCTCAAGATACACGCTTGACTTGAAGATGTTAGACGCGACGATGACGATATCGTCCTCCATCGTAGCTTCAATCGACAACTTGTTGAGGTCGGTAGCGGTGGTGATGCGCACGACACGGTACCCGGCCTTCTCGGAAACGAACTTCTTGATCTCGCTCTCCCACTGCAGTGTCAAATGCGGCGGGACAACGACGAGCGTAGCCTTGACGCGGATCTTGCCCTTCATCTCCTCCGCCTCGTCGACCTCCTCCCGGACCTTCTTCCTCGCGCAGTCGATGAGACCCAGAGAAATGGCCGTCTTGCCGTACCCGACTTCGTCTGCGAGTACACCGCCCAGAACGCGGATGGGCCGTTGAGCGCGGCCTTCGGCGCGCCAGCCTAGAGGCTCTAGGATGGCTTCGCTGATCTCCTCCTCAATGAAGGGCTCGCAGTCGCGCTTCTCCTGGGCCAGCATCCAACTGAGCGAGCGCAGCTGTTCCTTGCGCAGAGGGTACTTCTTGAAGCTGGGCGGTTGCGCGTGTTCCGGGTCTGGTCTATTCGACAGCAGCGTGAACTTGTGCGGCGGGAGCTTGCCGAGCGGTAAGAAGTCTGTGTCGAGACGCCACGAGAGCTTGAGCTCTCTCGTATCCGCCCGAGGCGGGAGACGTGCAGCAGCGCGATGCATGAGCGACGTGAAGTTCACGCCGAGCCTGAGCACACCGGTCTGGCTTTCGTCGTCGAGCATAAGCTGCGTGACGAACGGCGCCGGCCTCGCCTTCAACCTCCTCTCATACTCCCCCGCTTGGGTACTATTCTCAATCGGATGAACCTTATTCTTGATCTTGATCCACCCGATACTCGGAGCCTTCGGCGCGCACCGTTCGCATTCTTGACTCGAACAGGGAGCGTCGATATCGTGCCAAGAGCCGAATCCGTCGTGGACGACTTTGACGCGCTCGGTGAGCCAGGCGACGCGGCGGAAGGTCGCGCGCTCTTCGGTGTGTGCGAGCTCATGCAGGACGCCGCGGGGCCATTCTTCGCCGGCGGCGGACTGGTTGAGAGGGACTTTGACGACGAGGAGGGCGGAGGCGGTCGCGCAGGCACCTTCAGAGGCGGAGATGGTGAATTCGTCCTTCGGCGCGGAGACTGTTGCTGCGCCTTTGACGGGTGGCTATGGCCGAATGCGTCAGAGATGGGTTAACGTATAGCGAGGGAAAGATGAGGCTCACCGAAACCGACACGTCCGGAGCAGGCACATAGATCTGCGGCACCGTGCACTTGATGCCCACGGGCCCCTCCACACTACTCTGCCTCCATGACGGCGCAAGCCTCGCAACAACCGGCCGTCCCTCCCCATACTCGTACCGCCTATGTCCCTCCGCGAACACGAACGGGTCCAGCGCCGCATTCCCACACCGACTCGGGTCCAAGAAAAAGAACAGTGGCACGTCGTCTTCTCCCTCCTTCCGGTGCAACGCAGCGTTAGCGGTACCGCACTTGTCTAACAAGGTGTAGGTGCCGGATATCGGGCGATCGAAGAGCGATGCGGACGCAGGAGCGGTGATCTTGAGCGCGGACCAGACTTGTTTCTCTCTGTAGTCTGGCTCGTTCTGATGCTCCTTACGGGTATCCTTCTGTAGACCCAGCCTCGCCTCCCAGCTCATCACCAGCTCGCCTGTGCCTTCGATTTGCACCTCGACTTCGCTCACAGCTGGCAACGCGACCTCCCATTTGCCCTCGAATAACGCGCCGGAGCAGCGGAAGCGTGCGACGGGTAGTAGGAGCGTTTTGCGGATCTCAGCGTTCGCGGGGTATGATTGGGCTGGTTTTGCGAAGAGGAGCCAGGTTGGGCGCGTAGGGTGGAGCGTGAGCTCGAGACGGGCGTGGTCGGACTCGTACAAAGCCGCCCAGTGCGCCTGGCGTTTGAGCTCGACGAAGCGGAGCTCGGAGGTAACAGCCGCCAAAACGCAGTCACGCCAGTCGTCCCATCGGTCATCGGCAATCTCGACGTCCAGTTCAGAGCGAAGACGATCGAGAACGGGCTCGTCAAGGTTGTTAAACTTGAGCGCCATAGGCAGTGTGGACTTCAATTGGCGAGCGAAGCCGGACGGGAAAGAACGCGGGTGGGCAACGACGTCAATGGGCTCGTAGTTGTGCTCAGGTCGTCCACCGCAAGCCGCACAAGCCGTTGTGCCGCAATCCGCGCATCGTCGCACTTCGACGGTCGTGATGTCCTTACGACCTTCGCAAGCGCACAACCGAACGCTCTGTTCCGCCTCACTGAGAAGTTTAGAGAGCGGTACGTCCACGACATTCGTCAAGTCCAGCGCGTTCTCGACGAGTTGGTCGAACCCTCCGATATGTTCCTCAACCTTAGTCTCCTCCTTGGCGAGCTTCATCTCACCCTCGACTTCCTCAGCCTCCTCGATGGTGTCCAGGTTCTTCTGCGCCTCGTACGACTGAGAGTTCCCGGCGCGCAAAAGGTCTTGGGAAAGCGCGAGCGCAACAAGCATGCTAGCGCCCACGACGGTGGTACTCATCGCATTGCCCGCCAAATCCGCCTCCTGATCCTCCGTCTCGCGAGTCAACAACAACTCATCAATCGGCAGTCCCTGGAAATGCAGCGCCTCAAGCCCAACCATCGGACCACCGCGATTGGTGATGTAAGGGATCATAGCCGGCGTCAAACACGGTGAGATGCCGACTTTGGACGAACCGGTCGAGCGGTCGACGTTCTGTGATAGGTTCCATACTTGGGATTTAAAAGCTGGGTCGACGCCGAGTTTCGCGGAGCGCAAGAGGGAGATGTCGAGGAGATCCCACACGCGCTCGACTTGGGCTTTGCCCCAGTCTGTCCAGCCGAAGTCGGGCATCCTCGTGATGTGGCCTGTGCAACGTATACTTCAGTATTTTGTAGTGGACGCAGCAGAATAAACTTGTACCTTCTCCCCAGTTCGTCAACGGACGCTTCGTACCAAGACCCTCCTCCAACCTCGCGCGCTGATGCCGCGACTCGCACTTCATCCAATCCGTGCGCCCGGTCCTCTTGGTCTCCGAGTTGTAGCTCTCCTGTACGAGCTTCTCACGCTCGCGCTGAATACGCGGGTCGTCGCTCTGCAACAAGAACGCGTCGAGCGGGACACTCGCAGGCCTCTGCATCTGGCCCATCCAGTCGCGCCATTTCTGCGGTATCGGGCTCCGCGCACGGTCGACGGCGACGAGGTACCCACGATTACGCGTATGGGGGATGTAGAACTGCTTCGTGTCGAGGTTGCGGTGCATAGCGCTGTACCCGATGCTCTCCATCTTGGTCTTGATCGCCGGCCATGGAGCGGAGAGGACGTTCTCGAGAATGACGATGGGCGGACGGTGGTTCTGCACCCAGGAGAGCATGCCGTGGAAGGTGCGGCCGGACTCGCCGCCCTGGTCGATTTCTTTCTTCTCGTTATTGAGGTTGGAGTAGTCGACACAGGATGTGCCGGCGACGAGCATGTCGACGTTGCCGGGGACAGCAGCTAGTGAACCGTATGCCGTGTGGCTAATAAATATAGCGTTAGCACAGATATATTGCAAAGACGAGGATATAGACATACGCATGAGTTCCGCCGAGCTCGCAGACGTCACGGAAGAGCAGGCGAGGATGGAAGTTACGCTCGATATACGCCTGCTTGAACGGCACAATCTCGCAGGAAAAGACGTGGTCGATGTTGAAGTCGAGCCCCCAGCGGTCCTTCATAGCTCGCGTGATCATCCTCAACGCTAGCAAGGGCGACTCGGTCCCAGAGCACATAGTTGCCACACGGAGTTCGCGTCCGCTGATATGTTGCACGACGTCCTTGATCTTGCCGTCCGAAACGTCTTCAAGCCGTCCGACCATATCCGCGAATATATCGGCTAGTGCCGACAGTGGCGGGAGGTTCGACTCTTCCGGTGCGACGTAGTTCCTGCCCGTCGCCACACCCTCGCCGTCGGCATCAGCAGCAGCGGCAGGCTTCTTGCCTTTCGCCTTGGTTTTGGGCTTGACCTCTTCAACCTCCTCATCGTCGCCGTCGTCCATCTCGTAGTCGGAGCTCGCCTCGGCCTCCTTCGCAGGAGCTTTAGCTTTCGCCTTACCCTTCGCCTTGGGTTCCGGTTTCGGCTTTGGCTTTGGCTTTGGCTCGTCGTCGTCGTCGTCCATGTCGACGTCCGAACTTGCGGTCGCGTCGTTCTCCTTCTTGCCTCCGCCAAAGAAAGATGTCAATGACTTTTGCTTTGGCTTCTTCTCCGCAGCCATTAGTGGGTGCGCGGAGTATCTAGTGTAAGGGAGAGGTAGAGAGGGGAGATGGTGGTGGCAGGAGACAAGGCTCAATAAGCGAGCGCGTGTGAGTCGCGCTGGCGCGACGCGTTGCAGTCAACCAACAAAGTCACTGATGTGACCGAGCGCGTCTGAGACCGTGACGAGCGCGTTGACTCTCCCCACGCCGGTCCGTCCTCGCCTTCTTTTGCTCTGTTCCCTGACCCTTCAATGAAGCTCTGCCTAGGCACTTCTGTATGCTCTCCTGTAGAGTAGAAGATACGTCGGCGCTCTCCGGATACAAGCGTGACATAGTCTATGCGAGGAGCGGCACTTGGCCCGCCGCTCGAGATCAGCCCATTTTAATTGGCCGCCGTACCAACTTCGAGAAGCAACAAAGATCACGCCATCCTCCATGCGGCTTACACATACTATAATCCTCAGTCAGATGGCTGTACGCAATAAGCGCTCAGTGTTAGGGACGTGCGTGATAGCCCACGAACGCGCGCCACTCACTGCTGCGGGCTGGTCTCGGGGATCTTCCTCGCCCCCAAGCTGATATACGTCGCGACTGCAATTATTCAACAACCTCGTAATCTACCGGTAACCTTACTGCATAGCACCGCAGACTGGTTTAGATGCCGTAGATCACATCCCCTTATCGCTCACCATCGACTATCGCTCTGTAGGTATGATCGAATCCCTGACGCCAACCTGAGGCAGTGAGTGCAGAGGATACGAGTGCCATCAATACATCACACGTGCTTTCATACCCCGCATCCTTCCGTACATGTATGAACCATGATACCGCAACCACTCATGTTTATATCACGATGTAGTGGTAGCATAGAAACTAATACTATTGGGTTCATGTCGCTGCAAGTGTCCCCACGTCTTCGATGCGTACACGCTCAACACCCAACATCTGCTCGAACAACCCTCCATCATCCTCCCTCATCGTGCATCCCGTAAAAGCAACGTGCTCGAACGTCTCGAGTGGGGTATACGCCACACATAACGCCTCCGCCAGCAGAGCCGCAAAATCATGCGGAACATTCGTCTCGTCTACGCACGTCCCGGGCCACTTGACGAAGTCGAAGCCCGCGATACGGATCCGCGCGAGCGCAGGGAACGGCTTGCAAGGCTCACTTGCTGGCTGCGAGTCATTGACTGCGGTACCGGTGAGCCCGCCCCAGAAGACGACGGCAGCTTCGTTATGAAGTTGAAGATCGCGGACTTCCATGAAGTGGCACGCCAGTTCCGCCACGGAGAACCCGTCTAGCATGTTCTCGATGTGCAGTCTCGTCGTTCGGCTGAATACGGGGAGCTGGAAGTATGTTAGGAACGAGGCGACCCGCGCTTCGTGAGGACCTGTGTATGGCATCTGCACGGATACAGTAGACTCTTCGTCCGAGTCTGAGAGGTATCCGTTGATCCAGTTGTAGAAGAGCCCTACGCGTGGATAGATGAAAGCCTTGTCCGGCATGGCTGAGAAGTGCGCTTGTACAGCCGATGCTGCAAGATCCATATACGGTCCAATGCCAGAAGGACCCCCTTCCTGAATGTGCATCTCGGTGTAGTCTGTGTGCATGATCATAAGCCAGACGTCTGGACCCGTAGGTATCTCCAAGAGCGCGAAGATGGACGCGACTTCTTGAGCATCAGCCTCGAGGTCGAGGTGATTGATACGCGGTAAAGATATGCTGCGCAGCGATGAGGTCGGCGGCAGTGGGGTGAGTGGACGGGTGGACATCTCGAAGTTGATGTATGTCAAATCCTCGAGAAAGGGCATGGCGAGCAGGACCTGGGTCATCTCATCAAGGTTGCGCCACATAAGACAGTTCGCCAGCCCGAGGCTGGTGATGCTGGATGAGAAGAGCGCATCCGTGGGCACATCTCGAGGCAGGGTGAACCCTTCGAGTAAGATGGTGTGTAACTTGCTGAGCGTCTGACCGTGATTCAGGTCAGGTAATGCCATCGGGGTCCGTACCCGATGTGATCCGTCTAGCCTATGTTTAAGCTCCAGGATACGCAGGTCTGGTGTCCCGTGAAGCGTAAGGGCTTGGAGTATATCCATCATCCTCCTGTCATCCGGCCAGGTATTCCAGCCCAATAGGCCTCCCCTGCGTATATAGTCCATCCGGATTGTGTGCGCACGCGTGATGAAAGGGTACATGTGGCTTTGATCAAATTCGTCGTAAAGCTTCGTTCCAGCCCAAGCTTCGATGCATAGATGCACAGGAGCCTTAGCACAGCGCTCGAGGCATATCCTTGACCATTCCGGGCTACGCCGAGGGAGGTTCGACCACAGCGCAGAACATTGGATCGCGAGTTGCCTCCATCGTTGGCACACGTGGCTCAGATACCAACACGGTGGTGGACCCTCAGTGAAGGCGGACGAAGGGGCAGGATTCTCGGGTCGAAAGTCGTTCCATTCGGCATCTTCGACGAGGGCAGTCATGGTCATAGCGTTGACGCAGAGAAATATCTCTACCAGCAGCTCCGCGGGAAGCAACTGTATTGAGCGCCCGTTAGACGTTCCGTCATCTTGGGGGTGAGATGCCTGCGTTTCAACTGTATGTGCGAGGGAGGACATATCGAACTGTGGGCTCGTACGCTTGTAGAATGGGGCTCCTAGTTGAAGCAGCCAGTGTCAGACTCTGCGAGTCACGGAACGGATTATCGCAGCAGTGGCAACAACCCGCGGCAGTGGCAGTGGCAGAAGAGTCGAAAGCACATATCAGGGTTGGGAATAGGCCCCGATTTTCCCGCGTTCGAGGCTCCGGCCCGATCGGTGAGCCGCCGAGCAGAGACCCACTGGTGAAGTTGGGGCTTTCAACATGAACATTGCACTTCGGCATCGATCAGAGTGCCATACAAGTACAAGTGTACAAGTAACAAAAGGTAAGACTGTTCGTGGGACACAAGGGGGATTTACTGAGAGCAGCCGTAAGCACACATGAATGAATACATGCGCGCGCACTAGTGTCATGAATGATACAGATAGAGTTCGAGGCTAGCAAGAATGAGTTCAAGTCCGTCGTCGTGAAAGAGTGATCTAGATGACGTTCGTATGCATAATATAGTCCGGGAGCGAGGTAACGGGGCTCAACCACATATACTGGGGTACTCGCGATCTGTAGGGCTATGTGGGATCCAGCCACCATTCAGACCGTCCTGGTAGGTCCAGTCAGCAGCCTACGAGCAGAGAATCAGAATGGTTGAAGACAAATGTAGTGTGTAAGTAAAGCCTACATTCTCTGCCTTCCATGTCCACATGATCCAGCCGCTGCCCTGCTCGAACGTGCTGGTCTATACGAACGGTCAGTACCATGCCAAGGGAAGCTACAGCATGACGTTAGCTCACCTGAGCTTCATACATCTTGCGCAAGAACGTCTTGTACGAGCTGCTCAGCTGCGAGATACTACCTGTCTTGCCACTGCAAGAGCCCACAGCAGACTCGCCGTCATAGGAGCCATCATAGCGCGACCCTACGCCGCGCCCGTTGAGATACTTGGCACAATCCGTCATGGCGGTCGTCCATTCGCCCACGATGGACCAGAGTTGGTTCTTGTTGAAACTAGCTAGCTCCGCACCGTTCGCACAGGCGCTATCGATGTGCTGCTGCTGCGATCGCGCGTTCTCCGCGTCAGAGAAGACTTGATAGATGTGTGTGTCAATCGCAACGCCTTGGTACGCCGGCGCGGGCATGAAGTTCGTCCAGTACGGTAGACCTTGGAACGCATCGTGGATGAGCTCGACCGTGTTGCTCTGCTGGCTGGTGCCGTAGGGATAACTACGGGTAATCCGCATCAGCGCGACGCGGTCACGGGTCTTCACACGACGACGCGTACCGAATGTTGCCGTACGAGTCCTTCCAGTATTGGCGCGCGGCGTTGAGAAGCTGGGAGCTGTAGTACCCGGCCGGCCTATAGTACCGTCAGAGATCTGATGAACTGGCATCAACGGTGTAGGAT